TTTTCAGACTGTGTTCGAATTATTGATTTACCATCTGACTTTCTCATGGGTTTGTCAAGGACAGGACATTTTTCCATTTAAAGAAAGAAAACCTGCACAATAAGGAGATGTTTATTTTTCTATTATTTGTCCAGTTTGTGTTAATAAAAAGTGAGGCAATCCTTTCTGAGTGGGGATGCCGTGTGTGTGTAGGTTCATGCACGTGTGCGTTCATGTGCACATACCAGATGAATGCGTGCGATTTTATGCACAAGAGGTGCGGGCGGGGATGGCTGAGGACGGGGGCTGGTCTGCGGTGGTGGATGTGTAGTTTCAGGGTCAGGACACACAGGTCCCAAAGGCTGTGTGTGTGACTGCGTTTCTCCTGGACTGCGTGGCAGGCGTGTTTCTTCTCAATGCAGGGGGGTCTCTAGGATCGGCGAGTGAGCGAGTGAGACTCAGCGAGCTCAGCGGCTGACTGCGGGAAGGGGTATTCCAACCCCAGCTGTGCGGCGTTGGCGTCGGTGTTACTGGCTTAGGGATGTACACCTCCCAGGTCTCCTTGGGTTCTGTGTCAGGCTGACTGCTTGCGGTGCCCCAGTGGGTCCTGTGCTCCGGTCCCTGGGTCTATCTCCCCATCAGGGTCTCCTGGCCCATGTCACCATATGTGTCTGGGTGGGTGGGGCTTCAGATGACTGCCACACTTACGTGACTCCATCCTTGTGTCTGGGAACCCTTGCAGAGCTGCAGGGTGAGGGCTCTGTGTTTCTGGGAACAAGGAGGCGTTTTGGGAAGTTAACAGCTGGAGATTAGATTTCATGGGGTCACGAGAGGCGAGGAAGGACGAGAATCCAGGTCTTGTCTGGGTCAGGGCCAGGGCAAGACCAGAGTCTCAGAACTGTCCTGGCATCAGCAATTAGCGTAATGGCTATGTTGTTGGACTCCCATGTAGGCGACCATGGTTCATGTCCCGGACCCAGTGGCTTAAACTCACGCCGGGCACGTGTGCGTGCGTGCCCAAGATCCCGAGAGGAGAATGGAGGAGAAGGGATTGCAGCGTGGTCATCCCCTGGGGGGTGATTTCTCGCTTTCTGTCTCTCTGTCTCTCTCTGTCTGTCTGGTGAGCACATGCGCCCTATAGCAAAAACCTCTCAAAAAAAAAAAAAAAAATCCTGAGAATAGTTGGAACAGCTCCATTTACTGCATAGCCCCAGGTGCAGGACACTGGGTTTTGTGTTCATGTCTTTCTGTCTATACTGCTGAGCGTACACAGTATTCTTTTTTTATTTATTTAAATTACTTTATTTAACTTTAATTTATTATTTTTTTGGAGGGTGGCAGGTGGTGTGGTGGTTAAAGGCACTGGACTCCCACATGGTCAACCGCAGTTCGAGTCCTGGACCCGGTGGCTTGCTTTCTCACTTTCCCTCTCTCTCTGATCAAGTTAGAAAATAATAATAATAATAAAGTTAAATAAAATAATTATTTTAAAAGTTATTATTTTTAAAAAACCGTTTACCAGAGAGGGACAGAGTGAGAGAGAGAGAGAGAAAGCAAAGAAAGCAAGTCGCCAGGTCCAGGACTCGAACTGCGCTTGGCCATGTGGGAGTCCAGTGCCCTTAACCACCAAGCCACCTGCTGGCCTCACCTGTACAATATTCTATATGAAGTATTTCTACTCTTTTTGTGAATAATCATCATAGGGATTGTACGAAATCTTCTATTAGTTAAAAATTACCCTACCTAGCGTCTCAATTTGTTATCCCTTTGAAGGTAGGAAGAAACTGAAGTTTAGAGAGGTAAATTCACCTACCTACGGTGAACTTACCACTCATCAAGCAGGTGGTATCGTCAAAACGCGAACCTACCTCCAAGTGTTTCCACCTGTTGGCCTGTCCAAGGCAGGAGACCTGTGTCTGAAGGTGACCAGTAGGGTCAGGGAAAGCTGGGTGCCCTTGACAACAGCGCACTTTTGGTGTGTGTTGTCACGAGGGTTTAAGTCGGCTGAACCTTCGCTGTGTGGTGTGCCAGGCTCCGCACTGAGGATTTTCATAATAGCGATGGCCATTGCGTGTGGGGCAGGTTCTGCTCCAAGTGTCGTCCCATGGATGAACTCCTTGCCTCCTTAGGGCAGCGCTCTTGGGTAGATACCAGCGTGTCTGCACGAGGCCTTGAAGTACAATCACGTGTGTGACTCATGGAGGAGCCAGGACTTGGACCCCGCAGCTGGGCTCCACAGGCTGTTGTCCTAACCCCAGACTTCCTATCCTTTCTTGTCATCTTCACAACAACCCTGTGGTGTAGGGAGAAACACTGTCCATCTCACAGATGAGGGAACTGAGGCCTGGATTTGTAATCAGAACCACAGAACCCATTTCTGATCAGCCCATCTGCACCCTTGACCTTGTGCTGGCAGGAGGCTGGGAACTCCAAAGAGCATCTTAAGGGCCTTGGCTGGGCTGTCAGATGTCCCTGTCATGCCATGGGGGTGGGGTGGGGTCCCAGCTCCTTCCCCTTCCTGCACCTTTCCTTACTTTTTCCTTCGACTCATTTTATTTCTGCTTGATGATTGATACAAGCTCACTGTATATGAATCAACTCTATTTCTCTCTAGAAAGTTTTTATTTTTTCCATACAAAAAACTTCAAGTTTTATTCAGTTCAACAGATTCAACGTATGTTTGACAGATTCAAGATGTTGAACCTTGGTTAAGAAAGTCTCTTGGCAGGTGGCATGGTAATTAAGGCACTGGACTCCCACATGGCTGCCTGCAGTTCGAATCCCAGACCTGGAGGCTTGCTTTCTCACTTTCCCTCTCTCTGTCTTTCTCTGATCAAATAATAATAATAATAAAATTAAATAAATAATTGTTTTTAAAAAAATGTCTCTTGGCTCCTGGAGAGTAGGATGGTGATGAAGGGGAGCAGCCTGCTTTTTCCTCCCTTCCTGTCCTGTGTGGAGGTGGTTTGAGGAGAAGGTTGATTTCTTCTTGTTAGTTCGTGAACACTCTTTATATATTATAGCCATTAACTCTGGCAGGTGGCATGGTAATTAAGGCACTGGACTCCCACATGGCTGCCTGCAGTTCGAATCCCAGACCTGGAGGCTTGCTTTCTCACTTTCCCTCTCTCTCTGTCTTTCTCTGATCAAATAATAATAATAATAAAATTAAATAAATAATTGTTTTTAAAAAAATGTCTCTTGGCTCCTGGAGAGTAGGATGGTGATGAAGGGGAGCAGCCTGCTTTTTCCTCCCTTCCTGTCCTGTGTGGAGGTGGTTTGAGGAGAAGGTTGATTTCTTCTTGTTAGTTCGTGAACACTCTTTATATATTATAGCCATTAACTCTATACTGTGTGAAGTGTGGCAAAATGTTCCCTAAGCCTTTCGTACATTGTCTTGCGAAGGTTTTAAGTGCTATGGAAATGCATCTCCCTCCCCCAGTCTCCTCTGCCTTGACTTCCCCTCCAGAACCTCTCCTTATTCTCAAGTTCTAGCCTTCCCTTCCTTTTCGGAGACCTGAGCTGCTGTGAGCCATGTGGTCTCCAGTCCACTATGGCTGCTCCAAGGCTGGGTCCCTTGAAACTTTTTCAGAGCTCTTCCTTATACCTATTAACCCTCTGCCACCCTGGTATTGCAAATGACTCCTCCTTCAGTTCTGTCGATTGCCTTTCTTTATTTTTTTATTTTTTATTTTTTTTTGTCATAGGGAACAGTGCACTCTCCAGAGAGACCAGAAAGACAAGCAAAAAGACAAGCAAAGTGAGAAATCACACCCTTAGGAGCCACACTACAATCCCTTCTCCTCTATTTCTCTCTTGGGATTTTGGGTGTGCATGCACACACATCCGGTATGATGTGCAAGCTGCGGGTCCAGGACTGGAACTGTGGAGTTGGCCATGTAGGATCCAGCACTTCAACCATCAAGCTCCTGCTGGCCCCTGGTTGCCTTTCTTATAGTGCTTGGCACATAAAATGTTAAGGTCAGTTGATTTTTTTTTTTTTTTTTTTTTTTAGTTTTGGCTATAGGGGAGAGAGAAAGAAAGAGAAAGTGAGAAGTCACCAGAGGATGGCTATGTCCCAATTCCTTCACCTTTGCTGGTTCTCCTCTAGGGATTTTGGGCACCCACGCATATGCACCTCATATGTTTTTCTTTCTCAAGAAACAAATTTCTTTTTTGGGAACCAGCAGTTAACGTAATGGCTATGTCGCTGGACTCCCACGTAGTCGACTGCGGTTCGCGTCCCGGACCCGGTGGCTTAAAACTCAAGCCGGGCGCGTGTGCGTGTGTGCCCAAGATCCTGAGAGGAGAATGGAGGAGAAGGAACTGCCGCGTGACCATCCCCCCTGGGGGGTGATTTCTCGCTTTCTGTCTCTATGTCTCTCTCTGTCTGGTGAGCGCACGCGCCCTATAGCAAAAACCTCTGAAAAAAAAATAAAATAAAAAAATTTTTTGAGAGATTTTTGCTATAGGGTGCATGCGCTCGTCCAAGAGACAGAGAGACAGAAAGCGAGATATTATTCCCCAGGGGCAATGGCCATACCATAATCCCTTGTCCTGCATGCATTCTCCTCTCCAGGTGTTGGGCACACACCCACATGCGCCCAACGTGAGTCTGGGACTTGAACCATGGTCGGCCACTTGGGAGTCCAGCGCCTTAACCATTACACCACCTGCTGGCCCCATCTCAAATTTTTAATTTCTTACTTTTTATAGTTAATTACTCTACGTCTTTAGAACATATTCATGCTCAGAAAGCCTCAGTGTTTTCAAGCCACTGGGTCTGGGACTGAAGTCGCCTCCAGTCACATACGGGACCCAGGCAGCCTTAACCTTGGGCCATCCACTGGCCCCACCATGCTGAGTTTCATACCTGTGCGAGCGCCTGTGGGCCTGGGTTGTGGGTTTCTGACCCAGGTGGAAAAGGTCTCCCTGCTCCCTCCCCTCCCTCCCCCCTCCCGGAGGAAACCTTATCTCGCAGCTTCCTCTTTCCCACAGGTCAGGCGCATAAAAGCGCTTGGGAGCGCCGCCTCTCAGTGTCGCCATGTCCCCGCTGAACCTGCTGCTGCTGGCCCTGGCCCTGGTGGCCGTCCCCCGCGCCCGAGGCGCCTGTCCGACGTCTGCCGAGCTCAAGAACGCCGACGGGACGCGCGTGTGCGCCAAGCTCTACGACAAGAGCGACCCCTACTACGAAAACTGCTGCGGGGGCGCCGAGCTGGCGGTGGAGCCCGGCGCTGACTTGCCCTACCTGCCCTCCAACTGGAGCAACACGGCCTCCTCGCTCGTGGTGGGCCAGCGGTGCGAGCTCACCGTGTGGTCCATCCGCGGCAAGAAGGGAAAGACGCGCAAGTTCTCCACCGGCGCCTACCCGCGTCTGGAGGAGTACCGCCTGGGCATCTTCGGCACCTGGTCCAACTCCATCTCCGCGCTCTACTGCAGGTGCCGCTGCGCCCAGGCCCCTGCCTCACCTACCCCCCCCCCGCCCCCCACACCCACCACC